AGGATATATATATATATATATATATATATATGTAAAAATTGAAGTTTAGTTGTTTGATATGTAAATAGGTAAAAAGTAAGTATGTATGTAGCAAATCTTCCTATTTTAATTTGTATGTTTTCATAATCGATAGGTGCATTTGCTGTGCGGGAGAAATGTTGTCAGCATTTCTTCGGGCAAGTACTGGACTGCTGCTGTTACAACAACAGGAGATTTGTACATGTGGGATGGAAAGAAGTGTAAGAATGGTGCTCCTGTCTTAACACGCTTGCCTGGTATTAAGCATGTTACATCAGCATGTGTTGGTGAAACACATTTACTTGCTGTCTGTGCCCTTTATCACCCTGCTTATTTACCTGGATTGGAGTCAAGTCAGCAGTGTTCGATTTTAAAGGATAAAGGTGATATAGATGACTTAGATGAAGAGCTTCTGTTTAGTGACATACAGCCAGATGTTTCTGAGCCAGTTTTGCTGAACAAAATTGAAGTTTGTAAACCTGTACCAACTCTGAAGAGCCTCTGTGAGAAAGTTGCTGCGGACTATCTTGTGGAACCAAGGAATGCTATACAACTTCTTGAGATTGCTGATTCTTTAGAAGCTGAAGATCTAAGAAGATATTGCGAGGTTGGTTTGATTTCTTTCATTTTCTACAAACTATCTGGACTTTTATCTGAGAAGAAATTATTTCATGGCAGGACTTGGTTATCCGAAACTTAGACTACATTTTCACTGTCTCAGCTCCAGCAATTGGTAGTGCGTCTCTTGAAATTCTGGTAAGGCTTGAAAAATTGTTGGATACGAGATCCTCTGAGCTATGGAGTTACCGCCGCCTTCCTACATCAACTGCTACTTTCCCTGCTATTATCCACAGTGAAGAGGATGGTGATGATGTGATTGGTAATCCCATGCCTCGGGATAATAGAAACTTTACTCCAAAATATAAAGATTTCATTGGTGAAAGTTTTTTGCAAAGGAAGAGCGATGCAGATCAAGCTGTGTTAAAACAAGTGAGAGCTCTTCGCAAAAAATTGCAGCAAATAGAGATGCTTGAATCAAAGCACCACTGTGGTCATGTTCTTGATAATCAACAATTTGCTAAACTTCAAACCAGGTCCATCCTAGAGGCTGCACTTGCTGAACTTGGTTTTCACTATGAGTCCGATCCTAAACCTTCTTCGTCAGGATTGTCTGAAGGAAAGGGTAATAAAAAAGCTAATGCCTCCAAAAACCGAAGGCATAAAAGCATGCAGAAGGTAGCGCAGATAGAAACTTCATCTGTAAATGATGAATTATGTGAGGGAAAAGACTCGATAAAGGGTTTCTCTGATGAGAAAAGTATCATTTCTAAAGCAGGGGTGAGCCCTTGTGCTTTTCCTTGGTAGATTTTATGCTTTGTTTCTTTCTTTGATTTCCTCCCTGCATCGGTACCAACAAGCACATTTTCAATTAGATTTTTTTTTTACGTGCAGCTGCTTGCATTATTTTAAGTTGTTTTAATTACAAACAAGTTTTAAACTCCTATTTTGAGAAGCTTTATGCATTTTGTAGTATAATTACTCATTTGATTTTTGCCATTAGTTACTAATTTTGGTTGCAGAATGCATTTTTTATGTTATAATTTCTTGCAACAGGAAAGCACAACCGTTGAATTAACTAGTGAAAGTAAGATGGTTGGAAATTGCTCTATTAGCAGCCCAAATGTCACTCATAACTCCAGCAGCTATAAGACTATTTGGCCAACCTCAACCAAGAAAAAGAATAAAAAAGGTGGCCTTTCAATGTTTCTTAGCGGTGCTCTTGATGATGACACCCCAAAAAATATTCCACCTCCAACACCAAAAAGCGAGGGACCCGCCTGGGGTGGTGCTAAATTTGCAAAAAGTTCCACCTCCCTCCGTGACATTCAGAACGAGCAAAGCAAAACAATAGAAGCATGTATAAAGCAGAAGGAAAATCGTAAAAACTCAGTTGAGGTGATGGCCAGACAGGTCAGGCATAGTTCACTTCTATCTGGGGATTCCACTAGCCCAGTTGCTGTGAAGCCAACTCAAGCGGTGCCACCATCCGAGGGAGAGAAGAGCACGCCCCCATGGTCTTCATCTGGAACTTCACCCATCTACCGCCAATCTTTGAGGAACATTCAGATGCAGCAGGTATCCATGTTGTTTTATGTAGTCATGTTTTCATGCATCCGTTTTTTCCTGGGGAAATTTACGTACGTAGCACACAATTCTTATGTTTTTATGTCTAACACAAAATTTACATTTATAAAGCTATGCATGAAAAAGGATTATTTATTATTATAAAGTTAGTAAAGTGGTAATTTTTTATGTGATGTACTGATTTAAGTGTGTTAGCATGTAAATAGGAAAGTATAGATGTTAAATATGTAAATATATCAGAATTGTAGGGGCATAAACTTGCAGACAGACTGACCTGCAAATGGCATCGGAGGTATAAATGTAAAAAGCAAAGTTTAGGTGTTAGATATGTGAATACATAAGAATTAAGTGGTATGTATGTAAATGCCCATTTAGTTTAATAATCTATTTCCATCCTAGAAGATGAATCTTTTTTTTTTTTGCAATCAGCTTTTTTAATGATATACTTTCCCTTATTCTTCATCTCAGCCTAATACAAACGTTCTTGTTTAAATCTTGTGTCATTCACGTAATGTTCATTTAAGCAGGAAAAGAAGCAGCAAAGCATTTTTCACAGCCCCAAAACCAACACTTCGGGCTTCTCTATTGCTTCTCATGGCTCACCGTCAGACCCAAACTGCTGGTTCAAGCCAGAAGCAGAAGCTCCATCCTCCATCCGATCGATACAAATCGAGGAGAAAGCAATGAAAGACTTGAAGCGCTTCTACAGCAGTGTGAGGTTAGTGAAAGCCCAACCTCAACCATTGTGATCTTTTGCCCTGAATAGATAGTAGGAACATATAACATCCTGATCAACATATATTGTTCAGCTAATGTAGATTTGAATGTACAGTTGACTGTTTAGTTTTAGTTCCTTTGTGTCTATATATCTTTTCTTTTACTAGGAGGGATTTCTTTGATTGAAACTTATGACCTTCTGGTAAAAAAATAGAAGCAATAGAACTATTGCTTTTAACCTGTCCTTTGTATTGAATTTTTAGGAAGATTTACATACGTACCCTCCCAGTTCCTTTGTCTTTACATATTTAACATACATGCCGCCTTACCTGAGCATGAAAAGGTGTATTCCACTTTTTGAAGTTAATATAATGGTATTATTTGATGTGATATAAAAGATTTGACTGGCATAAATATTTGATATGTATATACATTTATGATGTAGAATCAAATGAACTCCATGGACCTAATTTCAGTTGATAAGATTGGGTTTGCCCTTCATATAGCCTCATGTTGACCGTAAAAATGAAGAAAAAAACGGTAGAGAATAACAAAAATGACAGAACTAAAGAAATAAGTTATATTAATTAAAATTTGATAATAATTTAAGACTTTATCTACTCCCGTCTGTTGGAGTCCGCTCAAGTGATAACCGCTCCCACTCTCCTAAGTTACAAACAGATGAACCAAAGTCCCGCTGCCTCATTGGCACTATTTTGGTGGTGCCCTTTCATTATGTCGACTTGAAACCGCAACAGAGCGATGTGTCACACTCCTCCATCTTCAAAAATAATTGACAAGCTAACTATGAGAAGGAAGATTTTAGAGAAGACCAAAATGTTGAGAACAATCTGAGGGACTCTAGAAGATTCCACGATATTCTATAAAAATCCAGATATAATGAGAATATTCCAAGGAATTGTAGAAGGTTTCACATAATTCTAGAAATATACTGAAAGAACAAGCTTTAAGAGAACTTTAGAATATTCTGGAATGTTCTAGAATAATGTATATGTAAAGAATAATGTAGAAGTATCTATAAATTACTATATTATAATATAATCTAAAAAATTCCCTTGGTCTTGAAGATGACTATAAATAGGAGTCGCTCCCGCTCATTTGGATCTATCCAAGCATCCAGGGAAACCATCCAAGCTTCCAAGCTTTGAAGTGTTTTAATTCTTCTTTCTTAGTGAAGTGTTTATTTCTCCAATACTTCTTCATACTCTTCTTAGAGTGGTTTGTGCTTATAAGTCCAAGTGTTATGAGGGATATTATGTTGATTTAGTGCTAAAGAAGAGCTTTGACGTCGCACGGGTGACTTGGGAGAAGTTAGTCTGTGACAATTGGTATCAAAGCCTCGATTCAAAGGTACGACAAAGAGCGTTAAAGAGCACGTAATGGAGTTCAAAATCACTAATGTGGAATCATCTCAATAAGGGTGAGGTCGTTAGGAGCAACGAGATCCAGCTGCATTCAAACCACATGAGAGGTCCAATAAGATCACACACGGTTTTGATTCGCGTTTTGCTCGGGTGGAGAAGGCAATGAGTGGCGTGGATGCCCGAATGAAGAATCTTGGCCAAAAGGTTGATGGACTCGAGGGGGAGGATATCATAATCCATTCAACGATCAAAGGTATGTTGCTCCAACTGGAGGAATCATCAAGGGATCAAATGGCTAAGATGTAGGAGGATTTGATGGAGAAGCTCCTGAAGGTACGAAGGGCCCATGAAGTCGAGATGAGTGGCGCACGTGCTAGCTTGGAGGAAATGCGTGGAGACATCTCGTTATGCAAGAGGGTACTAGTGACACCAACCAACCATCATACCTTTGAAGCTAAGAGGATTGAAATTCTAAATTAAAGAGTTTTGGAGGAGCTCGCAACGCGAAGGAAGTGGACAATTTCCTGTGGAGACTTAAGCAATACTTCTAAGCAACGAGGATTATAGATGAAAAGGAGAGAATATAATTTGCAACTCTTTATCTCTCAGACATTGTTATGTTGTGGTGGAGAAGAAAGCTAGGAGATATTGAGAAAGATATGTACACCATATCCACATTTGATGACTTTAAGTAGGAGCTAAAGAGGCAGTTCTGCCTCGAAAATGCAGAGGATGAGGCTAGGACCCAATTGGCAAACAGGATCCATTTGGGAATATATTACGGAGTTTACTGGCTTGGTTCTTGAAATTCCCGACATGTCGGGCAATGATGCTCTTTTCAACTTCATGGATGACTCCAACAGTGGGCAATGACTGAGCTAAGGAGACACGAAATGCAAGATCTTTCCACTGTTATTGCGGTCGCCGAAAGCCTAATTGATTATTGGAAAGAGTTCACGAAGCCTAAATATAAGGATAATTAATACCTATGTCAAAGGTGGGGAAGACATGGATCAGCACAAGGAAGAGACTCGCCGCGAATCAATTTCATCTAAAGCAAATGACAAATGAAAGCTTAAAAATAACAAAATTAAACCACACAACAAGTGTTTTCTTCATGATGGACCACATTGGGCAAGTGATTGTCCTCAGAAGAAAGTTCTGAACTCTCTCCTTGCAAGTCATCAAAAGGAAGAAGTTATTGATATGACAACACAAGTGGGGTCTATACAACTGTTGCATGGGATGCAAGCTCTAGCAAAGCCCCAAACAAAGGGTTTACTCTTTGTGGAGATGATAATATGTGGGAAGACCACTAGAGCAATGGTGGGTACGGGTGCTTCCCATAACTTCATCTTCGCCAAGAAAGCAAAGACATTGGGTTTGCAAATGACTAAAGGAGGAGGCTCCATCAAGGTGTTCAATTCAGCAGAAAGATCAATCCATGAAATGAACAGAGGAGTAAAGACCAATATTGGAGCGTGGTTAGATACCTTAGACTTTTCTATCAGTCTGATGGATGATTTTAAAGTTGTTCTAAGGATGAACTTCTTGGATCAAGCAAGAGCATTCTCAATGTCTTTCGCCAATAGCATGTGCATCATGGAAGATAATCAAGCTTGCTTAGTGCCGATAATAAGGGCTAACAAGCACGAAGTCAATGTGCTATCGGAGGACATTCCACCAAGAAGTGAGAAAAATCACCAGATTAGTCTGGAGCTAAGGACTGAGTTGCCAGCCATGAAGTCTTACTGCATGGCACCCCTCCCCCATACAACCAAGGAAAACCCCAAGTTTGTCAAGTCTATGAGCAAGCAAAGGGAGTTGGTTCGAGTGTCACTACGTGAGACTACAAGAACTATGCAACGGGCAGACAAGAAAGTGAGACATGAAGACATGAAAAAAAAAAAAAAGATTGACGGTATCAAGTGAAAGCCGCAATGAGGGCATTGCGAGCTTTAGTGAGGGAGAGTGTCACCCTTCGCTATCTTCAAGAATAATCGACAAGCTAATCATGAGAAAGATTCTAGAAAAAAACCAAAAAGTTGAGAGCAATCCGAGAAACTTTAGAAGATTCCATGACATTCTGAAAAAATCCAGAAAGAATGAGAATATTTCAAAGAATTATAAAATATTTCACATAATTCCAAAAATATGTTGAAAAAATCAAGCTTCAAGAGAATTATAAAATATTCTAAAATGTTCTAGAAGCATGTATATGTAAAGAATAATGTACAACTATCTAGAAATTACTATAGTCTAATATAATCTAGAAAGTTTTCTTGGTCATGGAGATGATTATAAATAGGAGTCCCTCCCCCTTATTTGGATCCATCTAAGCATCCAAGGAAACCATCCAAGCTTCCAAGCTTTCAATTGTTGTAATTCTTCTTTCCTAGTGAAATGTTCCTTTCTTCGATACTCTCCCTATTCTACTTAAAAGTATTTTGTGCTTATAAGTCCAAGTGTTGTGAGGGATATTAGACTGATTTAATTCTAAAGAATAGCAAAAAAAAGCGGCACAGTTGACTTGAAAGAAATTAGTCCGTGACAGCTGGGTTCTCTTCTTGCGATCGATCCTTTTCTTCGATCATCTCCTCCTATTTGAAATTCTCACAAGACAACGCAATGGTAAGTTCCTTGTCGGCATTTTCTCGACGTTTTTTTTTCCTTTATATCTTCTTCACTGTTTGCACACCGTCATAGTTCCCACCTTCTACATCCTGTTCGCCTCCCCCACTTCTCCTGTCATTGTTTCCTCAAATTCCACCTCTTCCTCCGTCGTTCTCACCTTCTTTAGCTCTGTTTGCACTCCCCATGTCGGAAGCCTCCGCAAATCACTGAATTCGCACTTCTCTGTTGATCAATCCTCCCTGTCTTCGCACGTCGCTCGCTCTGCCTTAAAGCCATGATTCCTCCTCTGCTCTGCTGCAATCCTCTGTCGTTTCGCACGACAATGCTGCGAAATTTTCTCCTTCGCCTTGCTCGAATCTCTCGTGTGGTAGTCGAGATTAGCACTAACTGGGAAGACAGCGATGAGATCGCATTCTTATAGAGACCCGAACATCCCGGCACTACCCTAGCTCCACTCGAATGCCTTCCAAGCCACGTGATTCTCTTTGTCGCACCTCCTACGCCGCGTGATCCTCCGCTCTAAAGCCCGAGACGTTCCTCCCCCACACAGTCCTCCGCTTCCTGTTTTGTCTAAATCGATTGCATTTTTTTGTCTAACCATGTTGTGGGCTCCGAAAATTCACGGCCGCCGCTTCCCAGACACTCTGCAATTTATTTTTATTTAGTTATGAGAGAATTTTGTGGAGTCTAATTTTCAGAAGATATATTTGATTGTTGATAAGACACTAACCAGATATTTTGCCCTCATTTAGGGCTGACTTTTTTAATATGGGGTTTAAATTTTCCCATAGGTGTTAATTATCATTTCCGATAACGCGAGAACAATTTCGATGAAGATTAGTCATTAAGAATTGAGTATTCAACATATAATAGCAATGGACTTAGATTTAAATTGTAAAATTTACCACTTGAAGTATAAAGTTGTTGGTGGAAGAATGAAGGTGAAATCCGATCAAGCTCCCATGGTTACATCATTCTAGGTCATCGTGGTCCCTAATCTATTTAGTCGGAGGAGTTAATCGACCTAACCTGACAAAAGGATTCTTGTCAGCAGTAATGAGTTGTGTCATCCAAGAGATTATTGTCAATCTGGGGTGAATGTTTGTTTAAAGCTACAAATATAAGTCGACCTTAGCTAATAAAATGCTTTATAATAATCAATTGTACATTTATGATTCACAACTCAAATAATAGAAAGTCATTAGGGAACATACGAGTTGCAGTCGTGATCGTGATATAATAGTGTCATTTGGTGGCGAGAATACGCTGACGGATGACTCGAGTTACATCCTTACTAGTA